TAGTAGAGACGGGGTTTCACCATGTTGACCAGGATGGTCTCGATCTCTTGACCTCATGATCCACCCGCCTCGGCCTCCCAAAGTGCTGGGATTACAGGCGTGAGCCACTGCACCCGGCCCCAATGACTTTCTTTTAGCAGAAAAGTGGTCCAGCACAGTTCAATGACTTTGAAAGCCTTTTACTTCTCTCTGTAGTATTTGTTTTCAGAAATAAATCCCAAACTATCTGCAATTCCAGTTGGTTCACATGACTATGTGGAGTTGTAACTTAACAAAATTAAATCATATTATCCATGTACAAAACCATACTAACTTTATAAATAAGGATACAATGCATACATGCCCACAGCAGGGAATATCGTTACATGCCCACAACTACTGATGATCTCGATGATGCTTGGATGAGAGTTAACACTGAAAGGCCACCACAATCATTAGTCAGGACATTGATCAATGCCAAATTGACAGTAGAGATGGCCTCAGGCCTTTCCCGGCTCTCCTTAGCGATGATGGTGAAGGTGTTAGCACCTTTCACTCGTTCAGGCCTCTGAAGTCTTCTTGAACTCTAATTTCTTTCTTTTTTTTTTTTGAGACAGAGTTTCACTCATGTTACCCAGGCTGGAGTGCAATGGTGCGATCTTGGCTCACCGCAACCTCCGCCTCCCGGGTTCAGGCAATTCTCCTGCCTCAGCCTCCTGAGTAGCTGGGATTATAGGCACGCACCACCATGCCCAGCTAATTTTTTGTATTTTTAGTACAGACGGGGTTTCACCGTGTTGACCAGGATGCTCTTGATCTCTTGACCTCGTGATCCACGCGCCTCGGCCTCCCACAGTGCTGGGATTACAGGCTTGAGCCACCGCGCCCGGCCTTGAACTCTAATTTCATTTGAACCTTTTGTGGCTCCTATAGGATAGAGAGGGACAGAAACAGAAAAAGATTCAGGGGGCTTGTCCAAAATCATGGGCTTGGTTAAGTGGCACCATTAGGAGTAGTAGGTATGTTTCTTGGCTCTTTGTTCTTGTCCACCTTTGGACTTGGGGTGGGTGCTATATTACAGATGCCTCTCAACTTACGGTGAGGCTGTGTCTCAATAGACCCAATTGTAAGTTGAAAATACTGAAAGTAGGGCCGGGCGCGGTGGCTCAAGCCTGTAATCCCAGCACTTTGGGAGGCCGAGGCGGGTGGATCACGAGGTCAAGAGATCGAGACCATCCTGGTCAACACGGTGAAACCCCGTCTCTACTAAAAATACAAAAACATTAGCTGGGCATGGTGGCGCGTGCCTGTAATCCCAGCTACTCAGGAGGCTGAGGCAGGAGAATTGCCTGAACCCAGGAGGCGGAGGTTGCGGTGAGCCGAGATCGCGCCATTGCACTCCAGCCTGGGTAACAAGAGCGAAACTCCATCTCAAAAAAAAAAAGAAAATACTGAAAGTAGAAGATGTGTTTAATAAACTTATCCTACTAAACATCATAGATTAGCCTAACCTACCTTAAACATGTTCAGAACACTCACTTAGCCTACGGTTGGGCAAAATCATCTGACACAAAACCTTTTTAATAATAAAGTGTTGAACAGCTCATATAATTTATTAAATACTGTATTAAAAGTGAAAAATGAAATGGTTGTATGGGTACTTAAAGTACAGTTTCTACTGAATGCCTAATGCTTTTGCACCATTGTAAAGTTGAAAAATCATTAAGTCATGGACCATCTGTGCTTAAAAGCAAAGAAATAATTCATTTAACAAACATTTTAAAAAGGAACTCACAAGTTAATTTTGTTTTATCACTTGGTAATTGTCTGCACTAAGTGGCTAACTGCTCAGGACATAGCAGATGCAGCATCAAGCTAGGTACTTAAGCTGTCTTCTGGAAATGGATTTCTGTGCTTTTTAGCACTTATTCCTGCATGGGGGTGGGAAAGGTGGTCTCCAGTAACTGCTAAGGTGACACCTATTCTGGCTGCTGTCCAAGCTCTAGTGATTGTCTTGGGGGGCAATCCATTGCTCATTGCTTAATGCAGAAGTACCTGAGTAATACTTTGCAAAAGGACTTTCCCCCCTTCTGCTGGAAGTGTCTCCCCATAAACTTTACCAGCCTCCTGAATGGTTGTTATATCAGTGAGAGCATTATTCAAGGTGAAAATATAAATTAAGGAGACAGGGCTCATAGGATGCGCATTAAAACGCCTGCCCATTCTGCACACCTGCTGTGTGCAACACACTGTTCTAGGCCCACAGTATAGATACACATTACCTCCCATCTGATAATGGAGGCCGATAATGAAGAGAAGAACATGGAAGAGGAAGTTGTTGGTTTTTTTTCCAGTCAGAAATACTGAAAGATTTCGTACAGCTGCCTAGTTTCCTGATACTTAAATTGTGAAACTTTGAGCTCACTCCATTATCATTTCTAAAATTTATTTTGAGTAAGTTCTCATTTGGGGGAGACACCCTAGTATAGAAAGTGGTATGCAAATCTGACAATGGAGGGATTAGAAATTTTGTAACAGCCAGTTTAAAGACAAGGACCTTCTGAGATGGTCTTTGTTTGTTTGTTTGTTTGTTTGTTTGAGATGGAGGCTCACTCTGTCATGTAGCCTGGAGTGCAGTGGTGCAATCTCAGCTCACTGCAACCTCTGCCTCCTGAGTTCAAGCAATCTTCCCTTC